GTCTTAGACCTAACAGCACCATATCTTAGACCTAACTGATCCATGCCTGAGACCTAACAACTTCATGTCTTAGACCTAACAGCTCCATGTCTTAGACCTAACTGATCCATACCTTAGACCTAACTGCTCCATGTCTTAGATCTAACTGTTTCATGTCTTAGACCTAACAGCTCCATGTCTTAGACCTAACAGCTCCATGTCTTAGACCTAACTGATCCATACCTTAGACCTAACTGCTCCATGTCTGAGATTTAACTGTTTCATGTCTTAGACCTAACAGCTCCATGTCTTAGACCTAACAGCTCCATGTCTTAGACCTAACAGCTTCATGTATTAGACCTAACAGCTCCATGTCTTATACCTTACATCCCCATATCTTAGACCTAACTGTTCCATGTCTTAGACCTAACAGCTTCATGTCTTAGACATAACTGATCCATGTCTTAGACCTAACAGCTTCATGTCTTAGACCTAACTGTTCCATGTCTTAGACCTAACAGCTTCATGTCTTAGACATAACTGATCCATGTCTTAGACCTAACAGCCCCATATCTTAGACCTAACTGTTCCATGTCTTAGACCTAACAGCTTCATGTCTTAGACATAACTGATCCATGTCTTAGACCTAACAGCTTCATGTCTTAGACCTAACTGTTCCATGTCTTAGACCTAACAGCTTCATGTCTTAGACATAACTGATCCATGTCTTAGACCTAACAGCCCCATATCTTAGACCTAACTGTTCCATGTCTTAGACCTAACAGCTTCATGTCTTAGACATAACTGATCCATGTCTTAGACCTAACAGCTTCATGTCTTAGACCTAACTGTTCCATGTCTTAGACCTAACAGCTTCATGTCTTAGACATAACTGATCCATGTCTTAGACCTAACAGCTTCATATCTTAGACCTAACTGTTCCATGTCTTAGACCTAACAGCTTCATGTCTTAGACATAACTGATCCATGTCTTAGACCTAACAGCCCCATATCTTAGACCTAACTGTTCCATGTCTTAGACCTAACAGCTTCATGTCTTAGACATAACTGATCCATGTCTTAGACCTAACAGCCCCATATCTTAGACCTAACTGTTCCATGTCTTAGACCTAACAGCTTCATGTCTTAGACCTAACAACTTCATGTCTTAGACATAACTGCTCCATGTCTTAGACCTAACAGCCCCATATCTTAGACCTAACTGTTCCATGTCTTAGACCTAACAGCTTCATGTCTTAGACATAACTGTTCCATGTCTTAGACCTAACAGCTTCATGTCTTAGACCTAACAGCTCCATGTCTTAGACCTAACAGCTCCATGTCTTAGACCTAACAGCTCCATGTCTTAGACCTAACTGATCCATGTCTTAGACCTAACAGCTTCATGTCTTAGACCTAACTGATCCATACCTTAGACCTAACTGATCCATGTCTTAGACCTAACAGCTCCATGTCTTAGACCTAACTGATCCATACCTTAGACCTAACTGCTCCATGTCTTAGACCTAACTGATCCATGTCTTAGACCTAACAGCTTCATGTCTTAGACCTAACTGATCCATACCTTAGACCTAACTGATCCATACCTTAGACCTAACTGCTCCATGTCTTAGACCTAACAGCTCCATGTCTTAGACCTACCAACTCCATGTCTTAGACCTAACTGCTCCATGTCTTAGACCTACAGCCCCATGTATTAGACCTAACTGCTCCATGTCTTATACCTTACATCCCCATATCTTAGACCTAACTGTTCCATGTCTTAGACCTAACAGCTTCATGTCTTAGACATAACTGATCCATGTCTTAGACCTAACAGCTTTATGTCTTAGACCTAACTGTTCCATGTCTTAGACCTAACAGCTTCATGTCTTAGACATAACTGATCCATGTCTTAGACCTAACAGCCCCATATCTTAGACCTAACTGTTCCATGTCTTAGACCTAACAGCTTCATGTCTTAGACATAACTGATCCATGTCTTAGACCTAACAGCTTCATGTCTTAGACCTAACTGTTCCATGTCTTAGACCTAACAGCTTCATGTCTTAGACATAACTGATCCATGTCTTAGACCTAACAGCTTCATATCTTAGACCTAACTGTTCCATGTCTTAGACCTAACAGCTTCATGTCTTAGACATAACTGATCCATGTCTTAGACCTAACAGCCCCATATCTTAGACCTAACTGTTCCATGTCTTAGACCTAACAGCTTCATGTCTTAGACATAACTGATCCATGTCTTAGACCTAACAGCCCCATATCTTAGACCTAACTATTCCATGTCTTAGACCTAACAGCTTCATGTCTTAGACCTAACAACTTCATGTCTTAGACATAACTGCTCCATGTCTTAGACCTAACAGCCCCATATCTTAGACCTAACTGTTCCATGTCTTAGACCTAACAGCTTCATGTCTTAGACATAACTGATCCATGTCTTAGACCTAACAGCCCCATATCTTAGACCTAACTGTTCCATGTCTTAGACCTAACAGCTTCATGTCTTAGACATAACTGATCCATGTCTTAGACCTAACAGCCCCATATCTTAGACCTAACTGTTCCATGTCTTAGACCTAACAGCTTCATGTCTTAGACCTAACAACTTCATGTCTTAGACATAACTGCTCCATGTCTTAGATGTAATAGCTCCATGTCTTACACCTAACTGATCTATGTCTTAGACCTAACAGCTTCATGTCTTAGAATTAACTGCTCTCCCTATCTATCAGATACATTAAAACTCCCCAAACTCAAAAACCTGTAACTATCCCATCTCTTTAACCTACCACGTCCACGATATACTAGACCTAACGCTAATCTCTTAAGCCTACCACTCTCTTTGTTATTAGAACTACCACTTTTGCTATGTCTTAGACATACCACTCCCCTCTTCTCTTGGACAAACATTCCGGTTAATGTTCACATGGAAATTAGTTGGAGGGTTTACATCTAAAACTGGTAAAGAAAATATGTGTTGTCAAATTTTGAATGAGGATGTGACAATAGTGACCTCGCCAATGGCAAAACATGATGGAATGGTGTGAAATGATTTAAGCTATTAAACCGTCTTAATCGCGGGGAAAGTTACATTGGTCTATGTGTTTTGATAAAAGTGTTGAAAAGTTGCATAAAACATCATGATACATGTATCAAAACAAACCATCAGCTCTTGTTGTTTTCAGATGAAAACACATCGTATGTCCGCGTTGTAATAGTGGGGTCATCGTTCTTTACAGTATTTTGCGTCTTGGTGACAATTATTACAGTTTTCATCAAGTATTTGAAAAAAACCCGGTGAGTATGTAATATTTGATTTTGCTAATGATCTCTACAGATGGCAGTGTGTCTTATCAATTTAAAATCAAAATAATCATTTGAAACAGTAACTAACCAGGAACTCATTTTGGTAATGCTTCTGTTTTTTGTCAACATCAATTGCACCTGCTACATCCAAACCACAGATCTGGTCTCGTAACATTAATTTCGATGTCAATCTTTACAATTATGAACATCTCATAGAATAGTGCTGGTGCCGCGGCATAATTTATTAGATGTTTGTCTCACTAGAATGTATTCAATATACGATGACTGCAATAAACAAATTAAATTTATTCTAAGAAAGCAAATAAATAATTGGAGAACTATAACTATAGCCATCATGTATATATAAAACAAATACGAGAGATGATCACAACAAAAGTAATGCGTATTAGAAAGACAATAACAAAAATCACTTTCAATGGCAACCAACTTGCAGGTCCCAGGAGTACATCACGCCTACCCAGGACATGCATGTGTCACCAGAGGCCATTGGTGCTCCAGTATATGATGAGGTTGATGAAGCAAAGATGTATGATGCACTCACTGATGAGGGACGGCAGGCCTCTGGAGCCGGCTTTGTGGAGCTGAGGTCAATTGCACATGTCTAGAATATGATGTGGTTGATGAAGCAAAGATGTATGATGCACTCGCTGATGAGGGACGGCAGGCCTCTGGAGCCGGCTTTGTGGAGCTGAGGTCAATTGCACATGTCTAGAATATGATGTGGTTGATGAAGCAAAGATGTATGATGCACTCACTGAAGAGGGACAAGCCGGTGTCAGTGGGTCTGGATATGATGAGTTGAAGTCGGTACATTATTCAAGCACATTACGTGCAAATATTGTAGATTCTATTACATGATCTGCAACACGCAGATAGATATATCTCACCCATCCAGATGACCTGGCTACCAGGAAGTGAAATTACTTTTACGGGGGCAAAACACAAAATGAAGAACTGAAGCGTGATATAACTACACAAGGACGGTATAAACGAATAGCAATAAATACATGTCTACTTATGTGTTTGTGAAAACCAAGCATAGATGTCAATTACAGAATTGAAACTGTGCACAGTTGTGAACTATATATAATGTTTGTGTGTATGCATCTTGTCTCTCTGAAATGCTGCACATAAAAAAAACTGGATAAAAATGCTTCACTCCGTTCGTGAATTGTTCCATTCAATGTCTGCAAGCTTCATTCATGAACGTTCTTTACTGCTTGTGTAATGTAAATATTTCCCTAAAGTGGTAACCACAGATATAGTTTCATCTCTTTCTTCAATGTTTGAGGAAAATTTGTCAAAATGAAACAACGGTCGTCAAGTGTAGAGAAAAAAACAACTTATGGAGAGCCTTATTTTATGGTAACAACCATGTGAACATGAGGTATATGACATTTAGGTAAGAAGTTGGTATCACTGTGGTCACCTAGTGTGTTCCCCTTCTTACTTATCTGTTTCGTTTTGCGTGTGAATCAGCATTTGTTTCCTGATTGGAAAAATCAAAAGTTGACTAGGAAGTATAACTTCTGATAATATTTATTGTCCCGATATATATATATATATATATATATATATATATATATATATATATATATATATATATATATATATATATATATAACCGATTTTAGTGTGGAGGCAACATCAAAAGTCCAAGACACTGGTTACGGGGTGAGAACGTTTTATTCCCGGTCAATTAAACACACCCTGAAACAATATATCATTCAATATATACAGCGTCATACAATATACCTGAGGCTTACAGTCTATTAAACAAATTAGGTGAAACATAAATGACAGATCGTATGACAATACAACAAGGGGAGATAACTCCTTCATTAACTCATATCCTCAAAATATCTTCAAATTAAATATGACACAGACGTCTTAATGCAATACGCATATCAAATAGAATAGATGTGATACTCAGTATCACATAAACATACGATATGCAAAATAGCATAGTTCCTACCCGGTGTATGGCACTAGGGTGCACACGACGTTCACCAAGCTCCTCCAAGCCAGATATACCAAGCGTACCTAAAATCCGTGTAAACAATATGCAACATTAATTCTACAGTAACTACAAATCAACATATATATTATCATTACCAACACCTGGAACACATCAAAACAACTTAGGCTAAAATCACATTCGTACTTACATTCACATATACACTATTCTTCCTCTCATATATGAAATCAGTCAATCAAACACTCAAACATGCAACAATTCACTCATAGGGAAAATATAATTACCTGAATGAATTATATGAGTTATTTGATAGTTATTTGTATTGATTCTATAATCTGAAATGCACTAAAACCTGACTGAAGTGTTATTTACATTTAGGTTAAATTTACCATTATTAAGGTTGAATTTACTTGTTTTATTTATATCCACACAATACAAATATAACATATAAAGTGTACACACTCATAAACCAATGTAATATATTAAACTAACCTGTGAGGTATTTGCATTTGTTTATGACTCCATGGTATTACAATCCTGGTGGTGCAAAGAGTGACTGTGAAGTGCAGCTTTGAATTAGGAAAGAGGGCAAGAGTTTGAATGATCCAATCGGTGTTCATTAAATCAGGCCACGGAATAATGTGGTAGCCCTACATATCTACCCTTAATCATATTAGATAGAATGAAACTAACTATAGAGCTAATAATAGACTCAACCTTCTGTGTCCTTATAATTATAGCCTGTATAAAAAATGACCAAACCTGTTGATAGAAAAAAATACATTCATTAGTTAAAATCGGAAATAATACACCTGCAATTCATAATGCAATTGTCATTATACAAATATCAATGCAACACTTAAATGACTTAAAACTAATATTTACATAACTATATAATACAATCATATGTATCTGCCACATATATATATATATATATATATATATATATATATATAGAGAGAGAGAGAGAGAGAGAGAGAGAGAGAGAGAGAGAGAGCGAGAGAGAGAGAAGTATAAAAACAATAAGACTAACACTATCATATATATTACACTACAAATGACGATTCTAACTCTGCAGTTAACTTGATGCATGTGATGTCAGCAACATTTAATAGTTGAACGATATTTCCCCCTCAACTGTACTAAACTACCTGCCTTACAGAGAGTATGTCTCACTGCGTTACATCAATAGCGCTGTAAGAATGCGCACAGTATATTTTTGGGAAAAGTGTGAGCCACGAGTTGTGAGTCAGTTTGAAACTAGTGTTATTCATATATGTTGATACATATCATATTATATTTCCCTTTCCCTTTCCTCCCGTATAATGCATGATGTGTGCAGTTGTGATAGGTCAATACCAGTTAACAACATCGGAGAAATGACTTTATTATGCTGAATATTAGTATGTGCCTGATTGAACATTTATGATGCAGGCACCACAACAGTTTTTTGACAGAAGGAAGAGAAAAGTTAGATTTATTTCTCATTACCGTGACTATGTATTAGCTGTGCATTTAAGAACCTTGTAAAATGATATAGCTTTTGCATGAAATCCAACAAAATAGAGCTGCATCACTTCGGGCTTTCCTCCCACAATAAGCTGACACGCCGTGATATAAATTGAATACTGCTAAAAGCGGCGTTAAACCCAACTCACTCACTCACAATTTGTTTTTAAAAACATACACACAAAATAAAGCATCAATATTGAGATAAAAAAATGTGCCCTAAAAACAGTTTGCTTGTTTAGACAGCATAACAGCATAAGCTCAACGTGATTGACACCCACCAGGAAAACCTGCTCTTGTGTTATCACTGATCGAGGTAACTGCTAAATATAATTCTATCTTAGAAATGAAAACTATCTTCCTTTTTATTGTAGTCTGACGACATCTGAATTCATCCACTCTTCGACTTAAATAATGCTTTGAGGACAAAGTCCAAATCTGCCAATGCTCTGATACAAGTGAAAAAAAAAAAGTTTTTTTTTTTTTATCACGGATTTTAAATAAATGCAGTTAATATACAAAATATATAAATATTCAAACAACTCAATTAGTACTAATTGGGCCTTGGCACAAATACAGCGTATCAAATGTTTTTTTTATGTCTTTTTACACGTAAAACTGTCTAAAAATATGAACACAACAGACTATTGTGAAACTGAGCATAACCAGGTGTTGGTAGATCAAGGTGAATATCCATGACCTATGACATCTTGACGACAGGTGAAAACAGGTGCTTGAAACCCACGTGCATGTGATTTGTCAGTGGTTAGTGATTTGTGAGTGGCATTGTGGGATTGTGAATCATCGTCAAAATATCAGAACGTAAAAGTAACATATTCCCTTCTCAAACAACAACTTACATGTCATTATTATGAAGTACATAAACATAGCTGTTATTTTTATTATATGTTTTTATAATTTTTTTCCAGGCTAATTTGCATAATGCCTATAGCCTGTTTCTGCCATGTCAATTTGGACTTTGTTTTATTTTTGAATGTTGAAAGTGCCTACAAATTACTTCCTGTAAAGTACATTTTGTATTAAGTAATGAGATAAAAATAACAAATCCAGACTAGTATTTTTCCAGTTGTTTTTTTTTATTTCGTATTTACATCTACGTAATACTTTGTTTCGATTATAAAATCCAGCAAAACATTTTTTTTCATTTCGATGAGTACTTTAGTACTCGCAACACAACCGAAACATGTACAGGTCAGCTGTGCTGAGACGTCTCACACACACCATTAAAAATACAAACTACAGTTGGTCCTAATTGAAGGGTCCTACCATCACTCTGTGAAAATGCAAATACTGAGAGCTCCAACACCTGCCTGGGACGCCCACACTGTATTCTCGGGGAAACAAGATCAGCATTTGTTGAGGTGACTTGCGCAATTGTGGGACACGTTTAACGTATACAGTAATTTAACTCCTACACGAAGCAGGAAGCATGTGTGTGGAGGTTAGGAGGTGTGGGTGTGGAGATGGGGGAGGTGTTGGTGTGGATATGGAAAGGTGTGTGTGTGTGTTGAATGGAATGTACGGTCGTGGAGATGGGGGAGGTGTGGGTGTGGATATGGAAAGGTGCGTATGTGTTGATGAGAATGTACGGGTGTGGAGATGGGGGAGGTGTTGGTTTGGGCATGGACAGGTGTGGGTGTGTGTTGAATGGAATGTACGGTCGTGGAGATGGGGAAGGTGTTGGTGTGGATATGGAAAGGTGCATGTGTGGTGAGGGGATTGTACGGGTGTGGAGGGGGGGGGCTGTTGGTGTGGATACGGAAAGGTGCATGTGTGGTGACGGGAATGAACGGGTGTGGAGAGGGGGCAGGTGTTGGTGTGCATATGGAAAGGTGCATGTGTGGTGACGGGAATGAACGGGTGTGGAAAGGGGGCAGGTGCTGGTGTGGATATGGAAAGGTGCATGTGTGGTGACGGGAATGAACGGGTGTGGAGAAGGGGAAGGTGTTGGTGTGGATATGGAAAGGTGCATGTGTGTTGACGGGAAAGTACGGGTGTGGAAAGTTGCGTGTGTGTTGATGGGAATTTTGGGGTGTGGAGAGGCGGGAGGTGTTTGTGTAAATAGGAAAAGGTGCGTGTGTGTTGATGGGAATGCACGGATGTGGAGGTGCGGTGGTGCGGAGGTGCGGTGGTGCGGTGTTGCGGTGGTGCGGTGGTGTGGAGGTGCGGTGGTGCGGAGGTGCGGTGGTGCGGAGGTGCGGTGGTGCGGTGTTGCGGTGGTGCGGTGGTGTGGAGGTGCGGTGGTGCGGTGGTGCGGAGGTGCGGTGGTGCGGAGGTGCGGAGGTGCGGAGGTGCGGTGGTGCGGAGGTGCGGTGGTGCGGAGGTGCGGTGGTGCGGTGGTGCGGTGGTGCGGAGGTGCGGTGGTGCGGAGGTGCGGTGGTGCGGAGGTGCGGTGGGGCGGATTGAGTGATGAGGACATATGGTGGAAGAGGCTTGTGGTGCGGATGTGCAGATGGAGGTTTGACAGTTTGTGATGAGTTCGGGTGCAGATACAGGGCTATGCGGATGTGAGGCATGGATGGGGTGGTGCTGTGGGTTGTGCGGGGTATTAATGAAGAAGTGCAGGGGGAAGGAGGGGGGAAATGTCGGTGCAGAGATGGATATGCGGATGTCAAAGGGTAAGGAATGGCGAGTATGCTGTTGGGAAAGTGCGGGTTTAGAGATGGGAAGATGGAGGTGTACATATGGGAAGGTACAGGTGTAGACATGGGTAGGAGCAGGTGTAGAAGTGGAAAGGTGCAGGTGTAGATATGGGAAGATGCAGTTGTAGAGATGGGAATGTGCAAGTGTAGAGATGGGAAGGTGCAGGTGTAGAAGTGGAAAGGTGCAGGTGTCGACATGGGAAGGTGCAGGTGTAGACATGGGAAGGTGCAGGTGAAGAGATGGGAATTTTCAGGTGTAGATATTAAAGGAGCAAGTGTAGAGATGGGAAGGTGTAGTTGTAGAGATGGGAATGTGCGAGTGTAGAGATGGGAATGTGCAGGTGTAGACATGGGAAGGTGGAGGTGTAGACATGGGAAGGTGCAGGTATAGACATGGGAAGGTGCAGGTGTAGAGATGGGAAGGTGCAGGTGTAGACATGGGAAGGTGCAGGTGAAGAGATGGGAATTTTCAGGTGTAGATATTAAAGGAGCAAGTGTAGAGATGGGAAGGTGTAGTTGTAGAGATGGGAATGTGCGAGTGTAGAGATGGGAAGGTGCAGGTGTAGAGATGGTAATGTGCAGGTGTAGACATGGGAAGGTGGAGGTGTAGACATGGGAAGGTGCAGGTATAGACATGGGAAGGTGCAGGTGTAGAGATGGGAATTTTCAGGTGTAGATATTAAAGGAGCAAGTGTAGACATGGGAAGGTGCATGTGTAGACATGAGAAGGTGCATGTGTAGAGATGGGAAGATGCATGCATAGAGCTGGGGAGATATGGAGAGGTGGATAATTGTCTTTAGATGTTACTTGCCCTTTATATACATGAACAGTGAGTGACCAGGCATCAGTGCAGTGATATACAGAAGTGTTTATCTTGACATGATTGACTCCAGAATTGACTGCAGGCAGTTGTTTTTGGTAGTAATAGCTTGGTATAGGCGACCCAGTAGACATCCCAGAACATTGATGGGTACGAATATTTACTGTTGTCATCATCCGTGTAATGTAGGCACCATACCTGTAACCGTGTGTTTCACCGAGGTCAACGTGTTCAACTTGCGTCACCATGAAGCTGGCAATCCTAACAACGACGTTCTATAATGGGACGACATTAACATATTTGCATACATGTTTCT